GAGGATTAAGGGAGATCAAAAGAAGAGCGTTTCTCCCTTTGACTTCCTCGGGGCCTGTCTCCACTGCTCCTATCCTCTGCAGCAGGCAGCAAACATCCCAACCCCACAGAAACCATTTGATGGGAGACTCGTTTGCCAATTGGCACCAATGATAAAAGGCCAGGCCTGGGCACACGTAGGGCAGCCAGTGTCTCCTGAATTGTGATGGGAAAATTCCCCCCCCCCTCCACCCCTCACTGTCTGGCTTCTGTCCCCCATGGCAAGGCAGCTGGGGGAGAGGAGCTGCAGGGCTGCTCCTCAAATTGGACATCTGTCACATGACTGGTCCCTCCTTCCCCAAGCAGAACCCAAGGACATAAAAGTTCCCCCCTGAGAACAGTGGTGAGGAGCCTGCAAGTCTTTCACTATAACAGGGGCTATATTGTACTTAGATTTCCAGAAAGCCCTTGACAAGGTCCCTCACCAAAGGCTCTTAAGTTAAGCAAGTTGTCATGGGATAAGAGGGAAGGTCCTTTCATGGATGTATAACTAGTTAAAAGACAGGACACAAAGGGCAGGAATAAATGGAAGTTTTCAGAGGGCAGAGAGGTAACTAGTGGGGTTCCCTAATGGTCTACCCTGGGACCCATCCTATTCAACTTATTTATAAATGATCTAGAGAAAGGGGTAAATAGTGAGGTGGCAAAATTTGCAGATGATACCGAAGTGCTCAAGATAGTTAAGACCAAAGCAGACTGTGAAGAGCTTCAAAAAGATCTCACCAAAATGATTGGGCCACAAAATGGTAAATGAAATTTAATGTTGATAAATGTAAAGTAATGCACATTGGAAAAAATAATCCCAGCTACACATACACTATGATGGGGACTAATTTGGCTACAACTACTCAAGAGAGAGATCTTGGAGTCATTGTGGATAGTTCTCTGAAAATATCTACTCAGTGTGCAGCGGCAGTCAAAAAAGCAAAATGTTAGGAATCATTTAAAAAGGCATAGAGAATAAGACAGAAAATATCTTATTGCCTCTGTATAAAACCATGGTACGTCCACATCTTGAATACTGCATACAAATGTGGTCACCTCATCTCAAAAAAGATATATTGGCTTTGGAAAAGGTTCAGAAAAGGGCAACAAACATGATTAGGGGTTTGGAACAGGTCCCATATTAAGAGAGATTAAAAAATCTTGTACTTTTCAGCTCAGAAAAGAGCAGACTAAAGGGGGATATGATAGAGGTCTATAACAATGATTTGTATGGAAAAAGTGAATAAGGAAAAGTTATTTACTTATTCCCATAATACAAGAACTAAAGGTCACCAAATTAAATTAATAGGCAGCAGGTTTAAAACAAACAGAAGGAAGTTTTTCTTCACTCAGTGCACAGTCAATCTGTGGAACTCCTTGCCAGAGGACGTGGTGAAGGCTAGGACTTACCAGGGTTCAAAAAAGAGCTAGATAAATACATGTAGGTTAGGTCCATCAATGGCTACTAGCCAGGTTGGGTACGAACTGCAACCTATGGGGGGCGCCTGATGCAGTACCCCTTACCACCTCAATCAGGCGCACCCCCCCATAGGTTGGCACCCCCGGGCAGCTGCTTGGCTAGCCCTCCCCCCCTTAATCCAGCCCTGCTTGTACTTAATTACTTTTACTTACTATCAAGCCCAGTGTAAACAATTATTACCTGGGGAAGCCATCAGCATGCACATTCCCCCTTTCATTGTTAAAGGTGACTTACCTAATTCTTACCCAAGCCCCGGCCTCCAGGAGAGGGGCTCCCCAGCAGCAGCCATGAGATGGTGGGAGCCAGTTAATGCAAAACAAAGGATACCAGGAGTGGGAGAAACTAAATTCTGTTTTATTTTTCCAAAGGAGGAATAAAGACAGGCTCCTGTCCCCGTCCCCACCCAGCTCAGCCTGGCACTTTGTACCCCCAGCTCAACCCCCCCTAGGCACCTGCCTGAAAGCAGCATTCGGACATGGGGGGCTGAAAAGTGGAGAGAATTCCTGGGGCTCCAACACAAAAGGAAACACTCTGGGTGCATCTGTTGAGATAACAGCCCTGTGGCCAGGCTGCAGCTGGCTCGGCTCGGCTCGGGTTGGGGGATTACAAATCTGCAGCCAAGGCCACCTCTAGGGGGGCACAGTGTCGGGTCAACCACCAACGTATTGCTCCCCATCTTCTCCAGCTCTGCCCCCTCCTGGCCCCACTGCTGAGAGATACTGACCATTGTCTTTGCTCAAACCACACACAGAGCTTATGGCAAAGGCTAGAACATGGCTAAAATACAAGGAAAATTCTGGCAGATCATCATTTGTATTGTGCTGTCCGCACGTCTAACTAACAGAGATCAAAGTGTGCGACCCACCGGCCTACACACAGAATGAAAAATGCAGGATACAAGGTGGGCTGTTAAACACTCTCACACCCATAGGCTACGTCTACACTGGCACCCTTTTCCGGAAATGCTTAAAACGGAACAGTTTTCCGTTATAAGTATTTCCGGAAAAAGTACGTCTACATTGGCAGGATGCTTTTCCGGAAAAGCGTCTGTGCCAATGTAGATGCGCTTTTCCGCAAAAAAGCCCCGATTGTCATTTTCGCGATCGGGGCTTTTTTGCGGAAAACACTACTGTGCTGTCTACACTGGCCCTTTTCCGGAACAGTTTTCCGGAAAAGGACTTTTGCCCGAAGGGGAGCAGCATAGTTTTTCAGGAAAAACACTGACAATTTTACATTAGATCGTCAGTGCTTTTCTGGAAATTCAAGGGGCCAGTGTAGACAGCTGGCAAGTTATTCCGGAAAAGCGGCTGATTTTCCGGAATAAGTGGCCAGTGTAGACACAGCCATAGAGTGAAAAATAAGTGAATGTTTTAAGCCTCAAAAGCAGGGGGGGGAACTTACCCATTTTCTTCTGAAGTGGCTAAGTTCATTACGTGACTGTGTTAGTGTCAAAAGTTCTCTATGTCATTATACCAAAAGAATAATAATAAAAAAAAGCCCCCAACTTCCCAAAAACAAACAATCTGAAGTAGCCGAGAAAAGCCCAGCAGCAATTGTACCCAGAGATGGAACCAGGCCTGTGAGATGGGACTGATTACATTGTGCTGGGAGGTTCACTGGGATTTCGTTGCCCACGCCCAGGTCTGTGACACTTTCTCTTGCAGCCCTCAGGAGCCTGACTCAGGATACACACTGGGATTCCTGAGCATGGAGAGCCCAGGCCACCACGGGCAGTGACCCTTGGGGAAGTGCGGCACCAGAACAGGGAGAGGATAAAACTTTCCATGGTGGGAATAGAGGTTCCTGTGTCTAAGGTGGAAGGTGCTAGTGATGAAGGAAGGAGGGAAGTCGCACACTCACCCATCCCCCTCCAATGGCACTGGATGGGAAAATGACATTTCACTGTCCAATTGTTTTAGCATCTCGTGAGTTCTGGCCCATCAGGCAGGAAATGGACAAACACTAAGGCTACGTCTATATTGGCAAGATTTTGTGCAAATACCCTTTAACGCAAGAGTTTTTGCATTAGAGTATTTGAGTAAGTGAGCGTCTACACTGGCATGTGCCTTTGCACAAGAGATGTGCTTTAGCGCAAAAGCATCCGTGCCAGCGTAGATGCTCTCTTGTGCAAGAAAGCTCTGATGGCCATTTTAGCCATCAGGCTTTCTTGAGCAAGAAATTCTTGTTGCCTGTCTACACTGGCCTCTTGCGCAAGAACAGTTGCACAAGAGGGCTTAACCTTGAGCGGGAGCGTCAGAGTATTTGCGCAAGAAGCACTGATTTTGTACATTAGCACATCAGTGTTCTTGAGCATGACCTCACAGCCAGTGTAAACAGGCAGCAAGTGTTTGCACAAAAGCAGCTGCTTTTGTGCAAAATCTTGCCAGCCTGGAGTCATGTGAGAGTGTCTGGGGAGGAGCCAATCAGGCCCCACAGGGCACTCGGGGCCTAGAAATCCCTCTAAGTGGGGAGCAGGACACAGCTGCTGCTCAGGGGCAGTTTAGGGTCCCAGGGCTACACTGGCCAATCCCAACCACATTTCCCACCACAGAGACACGCTCTAAGGCGGATGCTGCAGAGGCAGAGGTGGGGGGTTCTGCCTCGCACAAAAAGCCTTGTAGGAATCACCCCTCTCCCTGGTGCTGTCTGACTGCAGGAGGCGGCAGGGAGAAAGCAGAGAAGGCATCCCCCCACCCCTCTTGTTCTCTCTGCCTTTCTATCGCATATTCATCAAACGCTCAATAGCCCAGGACCGAAATCCCCCAGCTCCCCAGCCCCAGCTCCTCTCTCCCCAGGCAGGGCCTGTCAGTGCAGGGAGCTGCTGCCGTTACCAGGACAGATGTGGATACACACTGTATATCTGCACAGGGCTCTGAGGGTAAGAGCCCAGCTGGCCACTGTGAGGAACTGTGGTATGGACCCTCCACCTGCCCAGGAAAGATAAAGGGTTCACCATGCCCAGACTGTGGCTCAGAGCCACCCCTATTACTAGAGGGGGATCTGGCAGAGCCAGACTGGCAACTGTGGGAGCTGCCTCCACCCTAACTGCCCTGTTATGGGACAGAGCCCTGCAACTCTGCATGTATCTCCCGACTTCTGCAGAGAAATTTGCGGCTGTGGACACACATTTTCATATCTGCACAGAGTTCCAGCCCGTTTCCTCCACAAACCCTCCTCCGGGCCTCTCAGTATTTGGTCTCTCAGATTCCAGTGTCCCTTTGGGATTTGAAGAGAGGATTTAAGCAGCCTTTCTGCACATACCCTTTCCAGAGAACAGTTTCAGGGCAGTGGGGGAGCCCAGTCAAGGGGAGATGGAAGATGAGGCGTGAGGACAGGTGTCCAGAGGGAAAGTGCAGCCTGGTCCTTCTCATAATGTCCATGTCAGGGGGATGCCAGCTTGGGTCCCCCCCAGCCTGGGGTCTGCTCAGACCAGGCAGAGCCAGAAGGTCGTTGACCAGTTGATTGTTGGGTGCTGCTGTCTTCTCACCCCAGCGCTGGACAGCTGGACCCCTGGGAGCCAAATGCCTCTCATCTGTGTGTGGGAATTAGGCAGGGAACAGAGAGAATTTCCCTTGGAAGTGGAGTGGTCGCCGGTGCCCAAGCGCTAATAGAAGTGTTTTACACACCAGCTAATGAACACTGAGAAGTTTTTTCCCTCGGGGATTTTCTGATTCAGGACTTGTGTGGATTCTCTGATGTCTTGTACGGTGTGAGGCGTGCCGGAAGCTTTTCCCACAGTCAAGGCATTTATACGGTTTCTCCCCGGTGTGAGTTCTCTCATGACCAACGAGAGCTGATTGTTCAGTGAAACTTTTCCCACATTCGTGACATTTACATGGTCTCTCTCCTGTGTGGATTCTCTCATGTCTAATGAGGGCTGATCGCTCTGTGAAATATTTCCCACAGTCAAGACATTTATATGGTCTGTCCCCTGTATGGATTCTCTCATGGGCGGTAAGGGCTGATCGCTGAGTGAAACCTTTCCCACATTCGTGGCATTTATATGGTCTCTCTCCTGTGTGAATTCTCTCATGGGAAGTAAGGGCTGATCGCTGAGTGAAATCTTTCCCACATTTGAGGCATTTATATGGTCTCTCTCCTGTGTGGGTTCTTTCATGGACAGTAAGGGCTGACTTCTCAGTGAAACCTTTCCCACACTCATGGCATTTATATAGGCTCTCTCCCGTGTGGGTTCTTTCATGGACAACAAGAGCTGATCGGTGAGTGAAATCTTTCCCACACTCATAGCATTTATATGGCCTCTCTCCTGTGTGCAGTCGCTGATGAACAATAAGGTATGAGCTCTGATTGAAGCTTTTCCCACAGTCAAAGCACTTATATGGTTTCTCTCCCGTGTGCGTTCTCTCATGTCTAATGAGGGTGGATTGCTCAGTGAAACCTTTCCCACAATTGTGGCATTTATATGGTCTCTCTCCTGTGTGCACTCTCTGATGAATATTAAGGTATGAGCTCTGACTGAAGGTTTTCCCACATTCGGAGCATCTATAAGGCCTCTCTCCAGTGTGGGTTCTCTCATGTTTAACAAGGGCAGATTGCTCAGTGAAACCTTTCCCACATTCATGGCATTTGTATGGCCGCTCTCCTGTGTGGAGTCTCTGATGTACAATAAGGCTTGACCGCTGACTGAAGCTTTTCCCACATTCCAAGCATCTATAAGGTCTCTCGTCTGTGTGCGTTTTCTGATGTCTATTAAGGACTGATCTCAAAGCGAAGCTTTTACCACATTCAAAGCATTTATGGGATCTCTCCCCCATGTGGAAAATCTCATGTTCAATACGGGATGACAGTTCAATCAAATTTTTTCCACACTTCAGGCACTTGTAGAGTCTCTCTCCTGTGTGCCCTCTCTGGGGCAGAGTAAGGTCAGACTTCTCACTGAATCTTTTCCCACAGTCTGAGCATTCACAGGATTTCTTTCCATTGTCATCTGTCTGCTGGGCTGGAATGTCCTTGGGATCGTCGGATCCTCCCCCACATTTAATGGCCTCTACCTGCCTCTCTGTCCTGTGTCGATTTCCCCAGGCTTCCCCCTGTTCTACACACTGGGAAAAATGCCCTTCAGCTCCACTCAAGAATGTTCTCTGTGGTTCTCCAGTTCCAGGATCTTCCTGCTGTCGATTGTCCTCCTTGTTCTCCCCCACTGTCCTAGCACCTGTTGGGAGAGAGAGAATCCAGACAGGAGTCACTGTCTGTGCTGGAGAGAAATGACTAACAGGGGAATGGCAAAGACGGAAAGCACAACACAATAATAGTTCTGGAGATTAGACATTAGATTCTACCTCCACACCCACCCAAACACTCCCACGGAAGGAAATATAGGGAGGAAGCTCCTGACAGCTGACAGGATGGCTGGGGAGTTCTGACAAGTACTTGCCAGGGTGATATCTGCCTCTCTACTTGGGAAATATGGGGCAGAAGTGAGGGTTCTCTCTCACTGATCATTTTTGAAGTCCCAGCTTTTTCCTGCATGCGCCGGAAAGTTTCTCTGTCAGTTTCCCTGACTCCTCACCTGTGCGGGTGCCTCTCAGGATCTCCAATTTTTTGGAGGGCTGGAGATCTGGGACCCACGGTTCTTCCCCTCGATCCAGTTGGGTGATCAGGTCAGGTTTGGGTATGGAGAATCCTGCACAGAGGTGAGATCAGGCAACGTGAAGGCACATGGAATCTGGGCAGAGTATGTGTCGCAAGGAACTATCTCTGAGCACAATCTCATCCTACATCAGACTGTGGTAACATAGACATCTTGGCTGTGTCTACACTGGCCACTTATTCCGGAAAATCAGCTGCTTTTCCAGAATAACTTGCCAGCTGTCTACACTGGCCCCTTGAATTTCCGGAAAAGCACTGACGATCTACTGTAAGAAATCAGCCCCTTTTCCGGAAATACTATGCTGCTCCCATTCGGGCAAAAGTCCTTTTCCAGAAAACTGTTCCGGAAAGGGCCAATGTAGACAGCACAGTAGTGTTTTCCGCAAAAAAGCCCCGATGACGAAAATGGCGATCGGGGCTTTTTTGCAGAAAAGGGCGTCTAGATTGGCCATGAACGCCTTTCCGGAAAAAGTGCTTTTCCGGAAAAGCATCCTGCCAATGTAGACGCGCTTTTTCCGGAAATACTTATAACGGAAAACTGTTCCGTTTTAAGCATTTCCGGAAAAGGGTGCCAGTGTAGAGCAACAGACTTCTGGGGCAGAATGGGGTGGGGGATATGACAAAGATGGGATTAGACTCATAAAATCCTAGGGCTGGATGAGACCTCAGAAGGTCATTGAGTCCCACCCTTTGACCAAAGCAGAACCAACCCCAATCATCCCCAACCCCAATCATCAACCCTAACCATCCCCATCAGGACTTTGTCAACCCAGGACTTAAAACCTCTAGGAATAGAGATTCCAACACTTCCCTAGGGAACCCATCCCAGTACTTCACCACCCTCCTAGGGAAATAGTTTTGCCAAATATCCACCCTAGGCTTCCCCCACTGTAACTTGAGACCATTGCTCCTCATTCTGCCACCTGTCACTACTGAGAACAGCCTCTCTCCATTCTCTTTGGAACCTCCCTTCAGGTAGCTGAAGCTATTATCAAAACCTCCCTCATTCTTCTCTTCTGTAGACTAAATAAGCCCAAATCCCTCAACCCCTCCGCATAAGTCAAGTGTGCCAGCCCCCTAATCATTTTGGTTGCCCTCCACTGGACTTTCTTCTCCACCAGACCAGCATTGCTTAAAGTGTGTTCCGCAAGCCAGTCAGAGGTGTGCCGTGGAGATATGGTGACCATACGTCCCTTTTTTTCCGGGACAGTCACGGATTTAAAGACACCCAGTGCTAGTGCGGCACAGCAGCAACTCCCAGCCTCCGCCCAGCAAGTAAGCGGCTCCCTTAGTGCTTTGCGCAGGCAGCCAAGGCCACTGCCAACGACATACAGCGTCCTGAGCTCCCAGC